TGCCCCATTGTACAACCTTCCTTGCTACGGTTGTTAAGTGAATCACTGCAGTTAAGTTAGTCACACGGTTGTTAAGTGAATCTGGCTTCCCTCTTGACTTTTGTTTGTCAGAAGGTCGCAAAAGGGGATCACGTGACCCCAGGATGCTGGAACTGTCATAAGTATGAACCAGTTGCTAAGCATCCGAATTTTAATCACGTGACCATAGGGATGCTGCAACGGTCATAAGTGTGAAAAATGGTCATAAGTTCCTTTTTTTCAGTGCCATTGTGACTTCGCTCACTAAGTAAACCGTTGTTAAGTCAAGGTGTACCTGTAACTGCCTTGAAATTATCCCAGGTTAAGCTGCATAGCACAGTCAAACATCTGCAGTTGAACAGAGAAAATGTATTGTAATAATAATAATAATAATAATAATAATAATAATAATAATAATAATAATAATAATAATAAAGTTGGAGGGACCTTGGAGGTCATCTAGTCTGACCCCCTGCTCAGGCGGGAAACCCTATCCCATTTCAGACAAATGGCTGTCCAGTCTCTTCTTAAAAACCTCCAGTGTTGGCGCATTCACCGCTTCTGGAGGCAGGTTGTTCCACTGGTTAATTGTTTTAACTGTCAGGAAGTTTCTCCTTAGTTCCAGGTTGCTTCTCTCTTTGGTTAGTTTTCATCCGTTAACTTCTTGTCCTGCTTGTATCACGTCATAAAATGTTTTATGACTACGTTAGAAAATATTTTATAAAATTGGCTAAATTTCAACTTCAAGGGAGTCCATCCTGGATTTTTTAATGCATTCTCTTAGTGAATCCGTTTGCAACATCGTGGTTCAAAACCTGTTGCCATACAGTGCACTGTTTCGCACAAAGGTGACACACAGACAGAACAAGACCTTGTAGTGTTATAGATTAGAATACAAATCAACAAAGCATGCATCCATCTCCAGGTGGCCTCAACAACTCTCTAAATTTAGAAGGCAAATGACCGGCTGTCTGCAAGGAGTATAAATCCTTCCATTCCCCACCATCCTGTCAGAGCTGAAGAAGCTTCTGGGATGAGAAGCGAAACGTCTTCAAAGATAAACAAGAAAGTCCAGTTGCCTCCTGAAAAAGCGCCTTTGGGATCTCCAGTGCTCGTTTAAACTGACCGTCTTAAATGCTGGTTGAGCTTCATCTTGTGAACGTTCAAAGTTGCAACAGCACTGAAGAAAGTGGCTTACGACAGTTTTTCACACTTGATCGTCTCAGCATCCCCAGGGTCATGTTATCAAAATTCAGACACTTGGCAACTGGTTCGTATTTATAACGGTTGCAGCCTCCTGGGGTCATGGGATCCCCCTTTTGTGATCTACTGACAAGCAAAGCATTTGCTGAATGCATTTGGGTCACCATAAAAAGGGGGGAAATGATATTGCCATAGGTGTGTATTATAGGCCACCCAACCAAACAGAGGAAATAGATGAACTTTTTGCTAGTCAGCTAACTAAGGTAATGTAAGAAGCACATCACAATAGTAATGGGGGACTTTAACTACCCTGACATCAACTGGGAGACAAACTCTGCACCAAGTGGAAGATCAAACAGATTCCTGACAAACCTAGCAGACAACTTTGTCTCCCAAAAAGTAGAGAAGGGAACTAGGGGATTAGCCATTTTAGATCTAATCCTCACTAACAGAGATGAAATGATAGAAGGTGTTGAAGCCACAGGAACCTTGGGGTGTGTGTGTGTGTGTGTGTGATCATGCAATATTGGAATTCAACATTATGGGACTACAAGCAATAGAACACAGTCAAACTAGAGTCTTGGACTTCAAGAGAGCTAATTTCAATAAACTTAGAGAGGGCTTGGGAAGGATCCCATGGATGAGAATCCTCCAGGGGAAAACAAGAAGCTTGAGAAATTTTGAAAAGTGAGATAATAAAAGTCCAGTCTAGCACAATACCAACAAAGAGGAAAAATAACAGCTCTCAAAAGAAACCAACATGGCTGCATAAAGAACTCTCTGATCAATTGAAAGATAAAAAGGATAAGTATAGAAAGTGGAAAGGGGGGCACATAACTAAGGCAGAATATCAGCAAATAGCCCGAGTCTGCAAAGATGAAGTGAGGAAAGCCAAAGGGGAAGCCCAATTCACTTAAGAACTGTGCTCCTAGATCAACAATGCAGCGATTCGCTTAACAACCGTGGCGAGAAAGGTCGTAAAATGGGGCAAAACTCACCTCACAACCCGTCTTGCTTAGCAACAGAAATTTTGGGGGTCAATGGTCGGCCTGGCAATTCTGTAATTCGTGGACGACCTGTAATTCTGTTTTTGGAAAGCTGAGACTTGGAACTTGAAAATGGGATTTTAAAATGAAGAAGGCAGCGAAGGCAGACCTCGGGAGCAAATTACAGCGTACTATGAGTTTATTAGAACAGGTTTTTTATTACAAAGATCCAATCACCATGTACAGTTTTTACAACTTCCACTTAGCCAGGAGAGGGGAAGGCGATGCGTTTAATTCCAATTTCCCCAAATCGAAAAGCAGCAGAGTCTGTGATAGAATTTTATCTACAATAACAACTTGTCTACCAAGATGGGGAACAGAGGCAAAAAAAAAGGGAGACATTTGGATTGAAAGAAAGGGAGAGAGAGAGAGAGCGAGAGAGAGAGAGAGAGAGAGAGAGAGCACAGATGAGAGAGGACAGACAGAGGAGATGAGAGGAGAGAGCGAGAGAGCGCGTAGATGAGAGAGGAGAGAAAAAGGAGATAAGAGAGAGAGAGAGAGAGAGAGAGAGAATCATCCTGGATGTTATTTTTGGATGGCGTTTCCCCCTGCTTGGCGCTGTCTGCATTGGGACTACAGTTCCCAGAATCCTTAGCAGTTGGAATGTTCACGGGTGTTCCATAGCACCTTCTGACTTAAAAAAAGAGAGCGGTTTTAATTCATTGCTATAGTTATTACAGTTAATGGCTTAGGGTGGTTAAGACTGCAACATTCAGAAATAACTCTGGGGTTTCCCCCCCCCCCAATGAGTGGGGGGGGGGTAGAAAGGCAGACCCAAGTTCAGGAAAGTCACTGGAGTGATGAAATTTTATTGTTGTTAGAAACCTTTTGGCGTAGTTTGGATACAAGGGCACGATTGAAATAGGCAGAGCCCCCTGCAAAGTCAGGTCGGCCATCTTCCAGGAATTCCCCCACAGCTCTTCTTACAATCTCCTACGGGGGGGAGGGGGGTTGGTGCAAGACACAACATCTTTGTGCAAAGGACACAATCTGCATCGTTTGTCTTGGGACATTCTGGCATGGTGGATGGCCCTTTCTGAGTTTTGGAGTCGCCTCTCGTAGCTAAAGGGTCCACAAGACCACGTCCTCCCCATTTAACAGGTTCCTCCCTTTTTGCTAGAGGATTCTGGCTCTCCCCTCTGTCTCCTAAGATGCATTCACAAGAAACACAGCGCCATTAGCCAAGTGGCTGCCTTTAGCATGTGTGAATCCAGGCTCTGGGGTCAGTTTTGGATTCTGTAACTCGAGCAAAACTCGGAGACCGGGTTGAGCGAACCAGGATTCAGCGTTTTGAGGGAACCCAATCCATTGACTGACTGAATCAGGACCCTTAAAATACTTTTACTGCCCCCCCAACAAACAGAGAAGACTACATTTTGCAATAAACTGCAGTGTTTCCCAACCTTAGCAATTTGAAGATTGGGAGACTGCAACTCCAAGAATTCCACACCAACCATGCTTTAAGGTGGGTGGACTTCAACTCCCATAATTCCCTAGCCAGCATGTTTTAAGATGGGTGAACTTCAACTCCCAGAATTCCACACCAAGCATGCTTTAAGATGGGTGGACTTCCACTCCCAGAATTCCCCAGCCAGCATTCTTTAAGATGGGTGAACTTCAACTCCCAGAATTCCACACCAAGCATGTTTTAAGATGGAGGCACCTCCACTCCCAGAATCCCCCAGCCAGCATGTTTTAAGATGGAGGGACCTCCACTCCCAGAATCCCCCAGCCAGCATGCTTGAAGATGGGTGAACTTCAACTCCCAGAATCCCCCAGCCAGCATGTTTTAAGATGGGTGAACTTCAACTCCCAGAATCCCCCAGCCAGCATGTTTTAAGATGGCTGGACGTCCACTCCGAGAATTCCCCAGCCACCATTTTTGAAGGTGGATAATGGCCTTCAAGCCGCTACCCTTGAGAAACACCTCAATACGGATCTAATGAGAACAACTTCTCCTTCCGTGGCTTAGTCTGCTGTAATATCCTTGGCTTTAACCATCTTTAAACCATCATTTAAATTGGGTGGACTCGCTTCCCCCACCGCTTCAACCTCTCTGCGCTTGGTGGAAGAAATTAAAGGGATTCATTACCTCGCTAAAAGTGGGCAAGGGGGGCTGCGGAGAGGAAGGGGCCGCAACGCCAAATTCGCTCGGGGCTCTGGAACGTCATTTCTGAATCCATCCCAGCTATGAAAACCACTGGCCACGAGAAGTTTAAGCATCTCCTTCCTGCCCCGTCTGGATGGCCTCGGGGTACCTTGTCTCCCTTCTCCCTCCCTCCCTCCCTTCCAAAGCCAAATTTTCCCCTCCCGGGAGACCCCCCACCCACCCACGCACCCCCTTGCTTGCAAAGAGCCACCTGGAAAGCGTTTAGACAGAGACATCATTCTGCGTTAAAACAAGGCACCACAAGGAAATGACGGTCGGCCCACACCGAAGGGGTGGTGGTGGTAGATCGACCCGGCCATTTTTAAATAGCGTCTAAGACAGGGGTCTTCAAACGTGGCAACTTTATGACTCGTGGACTTCAACTCCCAGAATTCCTCAGCCAGCATGGCTCCGCATGGAAACCTCTCCATTTCTCCTCAGCGTGGCTGGCTCAGGAATTCTGGGAGTTGATGTCCACAAGTCATAAAAGAGCCAAGCTTGGAGACCCCTGGTCTAACGGGTGGGGAAGGGGTGACGAAGGAACACACCCCCACACCCCCAAATCCCTGCCTCAGCTCTTGGCTTTAGATAGGCTCAGGTTTCAGTTTATCGGCCAGAAAGTCATTCACGAAAGTTTCCACAATCGGTGGCGTGATCTCTTCCACATCCATGACGTATTTGGCCCGGGCAGACATGTCCAAGATGGTGAGGAGGGGGGCGGCTTCGGGCAGGTTGGTATAATCCCGAAGAGAGTCGGTCATGTCATCCTGGATATAAAGGGGAGAGGGGGGACGGGGACAGACAAGGAAAAACACACACAAAAAAAGAGAAATATGGTTTATATCCTTACAAGCCATTATATCACCTGTCTGAGACGGTATAGGTTGCTCCTGTTTGAGCAGGGGGCTGGACTAGAAGACCTCCAAGATCCCTTTCAGCTCTATTCAGATTGAAATGGTATAGGTTGTCCTGCTGGAAGCATGGGGTAGGACTAGAAGACCTCCATGGTCCCTTCCACCTTGATTCTGATGGATTGAAATGGTAGGGGTCTCCTGCTTGAGCAGGGGGCTGGACTAGAAGATCTCCATGGCCCCTTCCAGCTCTATTCTGAATGATTGAAATGGTATATATAGGGTTTCCTGCCTGAGCAAGGGGTTGGACTAGATGATCTCCAAGATCCCTTCCAACTTTATTATTATTATTAATTATTATTATTATTACTATTATTATTATTATTATTATTATTATTATTATTATTAACTGTGGCAAGAAAGGATGTTGGCAACTGACTCACATTTATGACGGTCGCAGTGTATACCGGGTCTCCCCTTTTGCGACCTTCTGACAAGCAAAGTCAATGGGGGAAGCCAGCTTCACTTAACGACCGAGTTACTAATTTAACAAAAGGCAGTGATTCACTTAACAACGGCAGTAATTTACTGAACAACTGTGGCGAGAAAGGTCGATGGCAACCGACTCACATTTAGGACGGTCGCAGTGTGTCCCGGGGCTCACGGGATCCCCCTTTGCGACCTTCTTACATGCAAGTCAACGGGGGGGGGGGAAGCCAGCTTCACTTAACGACCGAGTTACTAACTTAACAACGGCCGCTGATTCACTTCACAACTTGGGGCAAGGAATGTCACCAAGCGGAGAAAAACCCGCTTAGAAACTGTCTCGTTTCAAGCGACAGAAATTAGGTGGTCGTAAGTCGAGGATTCCTACTTGTAACTTCAGATGTTATTTTTCTATCCCAAAGCCGGTTTATTTTTTTAATTTTTTTTTGCAGAAGTCTGCAAAAAATCTGGAGACTATTGAATGGGAGATAAAACTCATCTATATATGATGGGGTGGCGGGTTTTTTTTTGGCTTACATCAGGAGTCCTCAAACGTGGCCATTTTAAAATGGGTGGACTTCAACTCCCAGAATTCCCCAGCCAGCATGGCTGGCTTTGGAATTCTGGGAATTGAAGTCCACCCGTCTTAAAGTGGCTACGTTTGAGGATCCCTGGCTTACATCCTTGCAATCCCCCCCAGCTTAATTTGTTCACGTTCCCTTGCATTTTGCAGACGGCGCCCGCCGGACGAGGCATTCGATGCGGATTTGGACAGCCCAAAAGTCCACGCAGGCAGAGGACGATGGGGTGAAGGAGTCCACCTTAAAATAGCCGGGTAGGAGACATTCCCGGGATAATGCTGGAATCTTCTTGCGGTCTGCAAAGTGTTGGGTTTGAATTGCATCATCTCCAGCCACGGGGCAGATTCCCTAACCACATCTAGGGTTCCTTAATTCTGGATTTTCCTCTTTTGCAAGCATTTTCTCAATATTGGATTCCCCCTCCCTGCCCAAAGCTGAAATTCTTTGGGTTTATTATCTTTCTTGGGTGGGGTTTTCAAGTCTCTTAATGTCTGTTTTATTCCAGGTCTCCCGTTTGTTCTTTGCTTCTGGAAGACTTGAGGAAGCAATATTTCGTACATTTTGGGGGCGTACAATTAAATCTTTTTCTTTTTTTCTTTTTAAACTTCTAAATTTTCCCTTCTTTAACAGCACCTTCCACTCCCCTCAATTTTATCCCGGAAAATGCAAATTTCAGAGGTAATAATTCCATAATTAAGATAGGTGGATGTTCAGAATTCTCCAGCCAGCATGCTTAAAGCTGGCTGGGGAATTCTGGGAGCGGAAGTCCACCCATCTTAAAGCAGGCTGGCTGGGGAATTATGGGAGTGGAAATCCACCCCTCTTAAAGCATTTTTGCTGGGGGATTCTGGGAGTTGAAGACCATCCTTCTTAAAGCATGACTAGTTGGGGAATTCTGGGAGTGGAAGTCCACCCCTCTTAAAGCATGGCTGGCTGGGGGAATTCTGGGAGTGGAAATCCACCCCTCTTAAAGCATTTTTGCTGGGGGATTCTGGGAGTTGAAGGCCACCCTTCTTAAAGCACTTTTGCTGGGGGATTCTGGGAGTTGAAATCCACCCCTCTTAAAGCATTTTTGCTGGGGGATTCTGGGAGTTGAAGTTCACCCTTCTTAAAGCATGAGTGGCTGGGGAATTCTGGGAGTGGAAGTCCAGAAATCTTAAAAGTGGCCAAATCTGAGAAACAATGATCCAGAATCTGCTATGTATGCTCTGCAGTCCCCTTCCCACATTATACAACACCCTTGTGAGGTACGTCTACCTTAATCCTTTCCTTCCTGCTTTAAGGCTGGTCACAATATTCTCTCTTTAGCAAGTTGGCATCCACCAAGGAGGGACCCCTTTTCCCCCACCCCTCCCTCCCCAGAACACCCTATACTATCCCAAGTATACACCCTATCAGTGCCCATATTTAGGAAAAGCCCCTCAGATGCATTTCTTTGGTCTTGAACTTTTTCCAACTTTGGACACCAGCAAAACCTTTAAATAATTTGGACCCACTGCCGCTTCCCTTTTAATAGCACCCGTGGCCTTCAATAATTTGATTTTTGGTGGCATCGCTCGCCGCCATCAGCTTTTCTTGGGAGAAAAATGACAGCCTAGATCAGGGGTAGGCAACCTTGGCCCCTTCATGACTGGTGGACTTCAACTCCCAGAATTCCTGAGCCAGCCACGCTGAGGGGAAAGGGAGGGGTTTCCAAGCTGAGCCACGCCGGCTCAGGAATTCTGGGAGTTGAAGTCCACGAGTCATAAAAGAGCCAAGGTTGCCTACCCCTGGCCTAGATAGAATAATTTTAAGTCAGCAAAAATAAACCTCGCCCCGGCACCGGCTTGATATTCTGCATCGGCTGTCTTCTGCGGCTTTTTTCCCGGAGATTCCCAACTGCAAAAAAAAAAGGCTTGCTAGAATTTATAGCTGAATTTATTATCTCTCCCGGCTTTTGTGTGGTTCGTGCTGGCCTTGCTTGCGGTCCGCCCGCCCGCCCGCCCACTTGCCTGTGTCCATCTCTGCGTGCTTTCCTGCCCTCCGCAAAATGGCGGGTGCAACTCCTGCATGCTGGAGACCACCGGAAGGCAGGGCTATTGTCGGAGGGGTGTGTACGTTTGTCTGAAATTGGCATGCTGTTGTTTCCTCTACCCCCCCTCTGCAATGCACCCAAGACCCCAGCCTGGAGACCCCAAACGATGTACCAGGGGGCTGAACGGTATCGTGCGGGCTAAAAAAAATTCCAGAAATCAGCAGTGCAATTTCCCTCGCTGGGCTGGGAAGAAAAAACAACAACAAAAACCCTGGAATTTGATGGAAATTTCCCCCACCCCAAAGGGATTTCTTTACCCCACACCCTAGTAGGGTCATTGTGTCAGTTCCCAAGACGTGTGTGTGTGTGGGGGGGCTGGTTTCTGCAGAGGGGGGAAATCCATGCCCCCTTTTGCTTCCTAACAAACAGGTGTTTTCCTGCTTTTTATTATTTTCTTTCCGGCTGCCGTTGTTTCATCGCGTCGAGACCCTTGCTGCAAGGACTAACCTACCCAAGGGGGGGGGACAGAAGAGACAGCCCCCCCATCTGTCCATAGGGTGGCCTCTTCCTCCTGACCCCCACCCAGCCACCCTGCCGCAGCCCGCTAGCCCGAAGTTTGATGAATGGACCATTGACAGGGCTGTCAGCCGAGCCGGCAAGCAGATGGCATTGGCGAATGAATGAAAGGTTGTGTTGTAGGGGCTGGCCGGCCACGGGGTGGGTTGGGCGAGGGAGGGGGGCGTGGGGAGGGGGCTGCGGGAAGGGGTGGAAGGGGCGCAGAGGGGTCTTTTGTTTTAGGATTCATTGGGACAACAACGGACACATTCAGCGATCATCGGAGCAGGCAGGCAGAGCCGGCGGTGGGTGGGGTGTCTCCTGACCATTTGGTGGGGGGGTGTAGAAGGACAGAGGGGTGGGAGATGGGGGTGGTGGTCACAGGGAGACTGGAAAGGGCTGATGGGCTAAGGTGCCCTTGGTTGATTAAAGGTGGAAGCAACAGAACAACAGAACAGGGGACAGCCTGGCAACCAAATGAAGGTTAATAATAATAATAATAATAATAATAATAATAATAATAATAATAATAACAACAATAATAATAATAATAATAATAATAATATAATGATGATGATGATGATGATGATGATGATGATGATGATGATGATGATGATGATTGATGATGATGATGTTGGAAGGGACCATGGAGGTCATCGAGTCCAACCCCCTGCTCAGGCAGGAACCCTACAGCATTTCAGACAAATTAACCCACTCTAAGATAGTCCTCGACTTACAACGGTCCATTTAGTGACTGTTCGAAGTTACGACGACCACACTTCAGACTTACAACCGTTGCAGCATCTTCAGGGTCAGGGGATCAAAACCTGGACGCTTGGCAACTGACTCGCATTTATGACGGTTGCCGTGTCCCAAGGGGTCGCGCGATCTCCTTTTGTGACCTTCTGACAAGCAAAGTCAATGGGGGAAGCCGGATTCACTTAACAACCGGGTTACTAATTTAAAAACTGAAATGATTCACTTAACGACCGGGGCAGGAAAAGTCGTCAAATGGGGCAAAACTCACTTAACAACTGTCTCCCTTAGCAAGAGGAATTGGGTGCTCAGTTTTGGTCGTAACTCGAGGACGGCCCCTCGTACAAGATCGGGAGATGTGGAGAGACCTGTCTGCTAAGAGTCGGGCACAACTGAATGGATAACATCATCATCAGAATAACAGCGTTGGGACGGACCTGGGAGGTCATCTAGTCCAACCCCCTGCTCAGGCAGGAAGGCCTATACCACTTCAGACAAAATGGCTGTCCAGTCTCTTCTTGAAA